TCACTTTACTCTTAAGTCCATAGGTTCTGCCCCTCCAGTGTGTGTACTACCTTGGGATCCTCTTGAGATCTCTTTGAACTCTGGCACACTGGGGCTGGCTATTCCACACTGCACCTACTCAATCCTTATTGTAAAAAGTCTGGGTGTGAGCACTGCCCGGGATCCTTGAGGTCCTTACGAAACTCTGACACACCTGGACATGAATTTGGCTATGAAACCATTGGCATTTGAGACTACTGAAGGCCTAGTACACCAGGATTTGCTTTGGGCCTGCATCAGGCTCCCTATAGTTTAATCTATATCGTATTTATGTAATTTATTCAATTCTTGTCTGTAATAATTATTTGTAAACAGATATTGGGTGACTAGTGAAAAGGGAGGGTAGCTATATGATATTGTGGGAAATATTGGGTAGAAAATATGTTGTAGGCTTTATATTCTGCGAATCTACATTAGAAGCCATGCTCTAGGACTAATATGTTCATTTGCATTCAAATCATGCTAAACATGCATTAGATGTCCTATCCTTAGGGCTTCGTGTTATTGCTTCAGTATACTGCTACTAGGCTAATAATCATATCACTGTTCCATGCTTTTAAATTTGCACAAGTATTGTCACTTAGAGATCCTGCTACTAGGCTAATAATCCTGTCTTAATAAAACTGGCACTCGTGTATGTATTAGATATTAGGTCTTTTAGGAACTCTGTCTACATTTCGTAAAACATGTCTATTTCGATTGAAGTAAATAACTGCCCATGAAAAGGTTCAAAACAACCCCCACGCATAGACACCATGTCTCTTAACACAAATCAGTATAAATCACCTGTTATAATCTATGTCACCTAGAACATCATGTTTGTAGGTTGAACAATTTCTTAAACTGTTAATTATCTCCTGTAATTGATATTGCATACAGTCTCGCGCCTAGGCAAGCCTTAGGTAATCAGTCTCTATATATAAACTGGAAACTGCATTTTGATTGTACTACTTAAGCTTAACAGGCTATAAAACCAGTAGGCAAACTGGTTAGGATTCTGACACTTTCCTTATGCATATCTTGTATCTGTAAAATTCATCTAGATATCATGTTATTAGGATTTCTGAACTTCTTCAAAATCTGTGTTTTAGACGTGCTGTTTATTTGCCTATATACATGCGGAGGTGAATATGAGCCTTTAACTGTTTGTCCCTATTTGCTTGTCCTACGTGTTATTTTTTTTGTCGCCTAGATTTTTACCTTTTAAATACCTTAGATTTGTCTAGAACTGCACAGATTTAGAGGTCCTAAGTTCCTCCAGAACCATAAGAAAGGGACGGGTAACACCACGCTTAGGGATCGTCAATCAAACTCGCTTATATAACATTAAGGGTAGGGTAAAGGGTAGTAAAAGGATATGATGACCTGCGCGCTAATGTCACGTGTAGCCCCTCTAGGTGAGGAGGATTATCGTGCATTGCACAGATTGATCATGTAGGCTAATCAACTTAGGACTTTCCTTTCTCAATTCTCATATGTGTTTAAATTCTCTAAACTTCCTTTTCTTTACATATGTATGTGTAATTTGTCCAAACCTCTTTTACTTTCATTATCTGAATTTTCTTGATCATATATGTATTTAGACCATGAAACTACCTTTATTTGCAAATATGTGTTAAAGTTGTTTACTTGTTAAAATAACTAATTCACGTAGTTTAAGTTCGGTCGGGACCCACCATTGTAGACCGTGAGGGGTGCCTAACACCCTCCCCTCAAGGTTATTTCGAGCCCTTACCCTAATCTCTGGTAATGCAAACTAGTTACACGAGTTAATCGCTCTAGGTGCCCTAACGCACCTTAATCCGTTAGGTGGCGACTCTTCAAATTCAAATACCTAATTCCCAAAAGGAAACGAGTCGTTCCCCTGTGAATGTCGAAACTCGGACTTCTGCGAAGGAAAAAGGGGGCGCGACAACGACGAAGCCGAACACGGCCGCCAAATCCAAAACCACCATTTGAGCACTAGGCGGAGCGAGTAACCCTACAATGCCGCTCTTTCTTTCATCGGCTTGTCAGGTCGAGGTAACAGACAATTTTTTTTTGGTGTATCTTCACTCTTTTGTCGATTCAAACAGGAATACAAGCACTCGCATGGGTACGCGAGCGAGGGGTCAATGCCTCCAAAACACCCCTAGAAATGGTTCTGTAGCATACCGCCCCACAGGTAATGACCGAGCAAAACCCCCTAAACCGCGGCATATCACGAATAACAGAAATAGCTCGGTACAGAACAACTACCAAAAAAAAAGAAACTCCAGCAAAAGAAAAAATAAGAAAATTGGGACTCACCTAGGAAACGCATAGTATTCTCCAATGAAAGCAAAATTAAGCAAACCGGGACTCATCCAAGGAACGCCCAGTATTCTCCAGTAAAAACAAAATCGAGCACACCGAGGCTCACCCCGACGCACGCATAAACAATACGGCGGCACATAAAGCTCGCCAAAAACTATATATAACAATGATGCAACGGGTTATAATTTCGACCTTTGCTCGAAATAACACCATACGGCCGACTGTCATCGCCAAAAGAAGAATTCGACTTCGCTCGAATTATAATGGGTTAACATTTCGACCTTCACTCGAGATGATACCCCTACGGCCAACGACCATCACCAAAAGAAGAATTCAACTTCGCTCGAATTATAACGGGTTAACATTTTGACCTTTGCTTGAAATAACACCCCTACTACCAATGGCCAACACCAAAAGAAGAATTCGACTTCGCTCAAATTATCACGGGTTAATATTCCGACCTCGCTCGAAATGACACCCCTACGGCCAACGGACATCGCCAAAAGAAGGAATCGACTTCGCTCGAATTATAACGGGTTAACATTCTGAACTCGCTCGAAATGACACCCCTACGGCCTACAACCATCTCCAAAAGAAGAACTCGACTTCGCTCGAATTATAACGGGTTAACATTCTGAACTCGCTCGAAATGACACCCCTACGGCCTACAACCATCTCCAAAAGAAGAACTCGACTTCGCTCGAATTATAACGGGTTAACATTTCAACCTTTGCTCGAAATAAGAGCCCAGCGGCCAATAGCCATCGCTAAAAGAAGAATTCGACTTCGCTCGAATTATAACGGGTGAACATTCCGACCTCGCTCGAAATGACACCCCTACAGCCAACGACCGTCACCAAAAGAAAAATTTTACCTTGCTCGAATTGCAGCGGGTCACTATTTCGATCTTGCTCGAAATAACATCCCTACGGCCACTGGCCATCATCGAATCAAATAGGTTATAATTCGATCTTGCTCGAATTAATACCTTTACGGCCACTGACCATCATCAAAACGAGTAGGTCAATTCGGCCCCGCTCGGAACAACACCTTTAAAGCCTCCAACCACCGTCAAATAAAAGGAAAAGTCCGAAATCGTTCGTATATAAGTCAGAAATCGACTTCGCCCAAAACGGCGACTCCAAATTCGAACTCGTTCAAATAAAGTCAGAAATAGACCTCGCTCTAGACGGCGATTCCAAATTCGACCCCGCTCGAGTACATATGAAGAAATTGACTTCGCCTAAATCGGCAAGTCTGAACTTAATCCCACTCGAATGTTCAAGTCAAAACAGATTTCGTCCAAAAGGGCAGATCCAAGTTCAACCTTGTTTGAATCAAGGATGATACTGCCTAAAGCGACGAATCAGAAGTCAACCTCACCCGAACGTGCAGATCTAAAGCGACTTTATTCGGGCTCACCCGACGAGACCCTACTCGATCCAGTCAAGGTCGAATTCCCAAATCGAAAAATCAGGGACTCATTACAAAAAAAAAAAAATCCGAAGGTCTACGCGAAAACAAAAAGATGTGTGACAAGCAAAGAGAAGGGAAAGAAAATCAAAGGATATACAAAGGCGAAGCAGCTGTTTTATTTATATATATACGGGCGCAACGGCCGCACCTTACAAAAGGCCAAAACATGCCCAAAAAAAGGCGAAAATGGACAACAAAAGAAATACTAACGCTGCAGCAACTTTTCACTCGGCGTCATCACTGCCGTTCTTCCCATCATTGTCTTCAGGAAACCCCTCCTCAACATCAGATCCCTCGCCGGCCTCCGGTTTCGTAGGGTCGTAGCCGTAATTGACACGAGCCTCGCGTGCCTTTGCCCGGGCCTCTTCAAAAGCAGCCTCGAAAACACTACCCACCTCCCACGGACCCTTGTATATGTCTCGTCGGGCCTCGGCATGGTTGTTCTGGAATGGAACGATAAGGGGTCGACCAAGTCGTAGTTATGCCCAAGTGTAATGTTTGGGCAATTGATGAAGGATACCGTCATAAGAAAGTACGCCGATCAAAGATCATTGGATAAAAGGGAAGGTTGTTAATATATATATATATATATATATATATATGGGAAGCTGAGCCCAAATCTGGGGGGAATTATTTGATAGTCATCTCTATGGGATCAACAAGGGGAATCTCTTAGTCATCAAGAGTTCCCTCTCTTCTCCTTCTTTGCTTTCACGGTTATGGTGCAAACCTGTCACAAATGTAAGCCTATCATTCGCATTTGATGTACGATAATCATCTTAAGAAATATCACACGTTCTTGTTCTTCTTCGATTTTTGTACTCAATATATTTGAATCTAGAATTAATTATGTTTGGCTAAAATTTACCTTCTATATCTCTGTTAATTAGTTTAACAAAAGAGTTTAACACTTTGTTAATGAGAAGAAAGACCACGGAATTCAGTTTGAGTCGAGCTTAATCACTTTTTAGACTTTTAATTTATATCTTAATTTATTGCTAGTAGTGTCAGATTAAAGTAATAAATTGTACTATTATTTTAGCAGTGTCCTATTTCTTTAATTCATGTCCTGCCCCTTCATACGATGTCCCTATATAGAATAATTTCTTTTATTTTATCTGGCCAAAACATTAATAAAATGTCATCGCACATGTAACCAGAGTACTGATAATAAAACCAAAGAGAACAAGTGAAGTGAACAAAATTCATCTCTTTATTGATTTGGTGCACAAAGCACAAGTAGGCACTAGGAGACAGCCAACAATAATTAACACAAAACAAATCAAACAAAGATATACTTACAATAATAAATTATAAAGAAGCAACATCAAGAAACATGAAAACTCAAATAATTAATATTCTAATAAAAAAACTAAGCTGTTGAAGCCACTTCCACGTGAAGACACAATGAGAACAATGTGTAAGAAGGCCACCAGAGAAGTAGAAGCGAAGTGGTCCAAGTCGCTAGGAATCAACCTCTGAATTGCAAAGTTGATGATCTTATTGATTAAATTAATTGCTTTTGACCATGGACCTCTGAATCTTTCCCTCAAGAAGCCATCATTTATTTTGTGATTTAAACTGAAATCTGCAAAAGGGCAGCAGAAAAATATTAGATCTTTAGTTGAATATCACCTTCAATTTTGTGTAATTAAAAGAACTCCCTTATAAGTATAATTCATACTGCAGCTACTTACTTGCGTGGTTGTGGAAAATGGCCAAGCTTTTCAAACTGCTTAGTAGTGGACTGGTGGTGGCGGGGAAGCATAAATGTATACTGGAGGGGGAGGTGATTTTACGGGAGGGGGAGGTGAAGTGTAGTAGTACGGAGGAGGAGGTGATTTTACGGGTGGGGGAGGTGAAGTGTAGTGGTATGGAGGAGGAGGAGACTTCACGGGTGGAGGTGGAGAGTGGTAATAGTAAGNGACTTGTATACGTACTTTGGTGATGGAGGAGGCGGGGACTTGTACACGTACTTTGGTGATGGAGGAGGCGGGGACTTGTATACGTACTTTGGTGATGGAGGAGGCGGTGACTTGTAGACGTACTTTGGTGATGGAGGAGGCGGGGACTTGTATACGTACTTTGGTGATGGAGGAGGCGGGGACTTGTACACGTACTTTGGTGATGGAGGAGGCGGGGACTTGTATACGTACTTTGGTGATGGAGGAGGCGGTGACTTGTAGACGTACTTTGGTGATGGAGGAGGCGGGGACTTGTATACGTACTTTGGTGATGGAGGAGGTGGTGACTTGTACACGTATTTTGGTGATGGTGGGGGTGGTGATTTGTACACATACGTTGGGGTTGGAGGAGGCGGTGACTTATATACGTATTTTGGTGATGGTGGGGGTGGTGATTTGTACACATACGTTGGGGTTGGAGGAGGCGGTGACTTATATACGTATTTTGGTGATGGTGGGGGTGGTGATTTGTACACATACGTTGGGGTTGGAGGAGGTGGTGACTTGTACACATATTTTGGTGATGGAGGAGGAGGTGACTTGTATATATATTTTGGTGATGGAGGAGGTGGAGATTTGTAATAGTAAGGAGCAGGAGTTGGCTTAGGCTTCATGCATTCTTCATAAGGAGTTTTAGAGGCATAAGCAAATGGTTTTGCATAGAGCACAACTTCATATTTATTCTTTGACTTCACTTTGAGGCTAGCACCTTTAATGCCCCAGTGTAGATTTGTGGGAATGTTACATTTTGAACCCTTTGGTGCTTGGTGGAGTTTAGCCTTGCATGCATCTGCTCCATATTTGGCATAGTCAAATCCTTCGACTGTGATAGCAAACTTGCCATTGATTTTAGTGGTACCATAGCTCTTGATTTTCTTGTCACCAACTTTGCATGTGACCTCAACAACAGCACCTACTCCGAGTGTGGAAAATGATATTTCAATTAGTACTTAATAATTGAGTAGTTAACAGATCATACAGACATATATTCACCTTATTTTCCTACTCACTACAGTAACCAACTTTGTCTTATTCTTAATATAAAAATAACTGTTCCATCACATGATCAAAAGCTCATTTTCCACTTTTTCCTTTTTATCTAATAAGGAATATAAAAGTCAAGAATCTACCCATCTGGCTTCCTTTACTGCTTTTTAGTTGTAGGCTCCCTTTTGTTGAATGATTTGCTAGATTAAAATGGGCAGTTTATGAGCCAACGAAGACTACGTTTGGGCACCACAAGAGGAAGCCACTTATTCACCATTTTGGTGATTATCCAACAAATTTATTTCATTATTATATATTTTAATAGTTTGATAATAATTACTTAATCATAAAAAAAGAAAAGCTAAAGAAAACCTTAATACCACAAATAATTACTTAATCATGAATATATATCTCATAGATCCACAGGGAAGACTGCTTTTTGTATGGGAAGCATAAGTAACAATATTTTTCTTACTTTTACTTTTTTGATGTTTTTAATGATTCAGTTGTAAAAAAAACTTCTTCGATGCTACTTAAAACTTATTTGACAAATATATTTAGGACATTTATCAACTATATAAATAATTCAAGAATTAGCCTTATAATTAACCCTGCATACAAGATTAATTATCACTTTCATTTACAGAACCAAGTATTAATTGTCCTTCGCTTTCACTATAATACTCCATATATTTAGAAAGAATGTTGGTTGACACATGCTAAATTAAACTTAGGTCCCTAAAGGCATTTCATTATTAAAAGTAAGAGAGAATGTTGCGGAGATGAGTATTATACCTTTGAGGTGCTTCTTGTCGTGGGAGTTCTTTGGGTATTTCCAGTCATAGCATCTGTAGCAGTAGACTTTTCCAACAACCTTAACGACCAAGGAATGATGAGGAGGATAGTAATGAGTTGGGGGTGGTGGTGAAGTGTAATAGTATGGTGGAGGAGGTGACTTAACTGGTGGTGGAGGGGAGGAGTAGTAGTATGGTGGGGGAGGTGACTTAACTGGTGGTGGAGGGGAGGAATAGTAGTACGGTGGAGGAGGCGACTTAATTGGTGGTGGAGGGGAAGAATAGTAGTATGGAGGAGGAGGTGACTTAACTGGTGGAGGAGGGGAGGAGTAGTAGTACGGAGGAGGAGGTGACTTAACTGGTGGTGGAGGGGAGGAGTAGTAGTATGGTGGAGGAGGTGACTTAGCAGGTGGTGGTGGGGACTTGTAGTAATAAGGTGGTGGGGGAGAGGGTGAAGGGGGTGGTGGTGATTTATAATAGTATGGTGGAGGTGGTGATGGAGAAGGTGGTGGAGGAGACTTGTAATAGTATGGTGGAGGTGGTGATGGAGAAGGTGGTGGGGGAGACTTGTAATAATAAGGTGGAGGTGGTGAAGGTGAAGGTGGTGGAGGAGACTTGTAATAGTATGGTGGAGGTGGTGATGGTGAAGGAGGTGGTGGTGATTTATACACATATGGAGGTGGAGGAGAAGGTGATGGAGGTGGTGGTGACTTGTACACATACGGAGGTGGTGGAGATGGTGAAGGAGGTGGGGGTGATTTATACACATATGGTGGTGGAGGTGATGGTGATGGAGGGGGTGGCGACTTGTACACATACGGAGGTGGAGGAGATGGTGAAGGAGGTGGTGGTGATTTATACACATAAGGTGGGGGTGGAGATGGTGAAGGAGGTGGTGGAGACTTGTACTCATAAGGCGGTGGCGGAGAAGGAGAAGGAGGGGGTGGTGACTTGTACTCGTAAGTTGGTGGTGGGGGAGAAGCATATACGTAAGGGTCAGCAGAAACAATATTAGCAACAGCCAAAATGGCCAATGCCACTAAGATTTGTGGCACATGACGACCCCGGCGGGGGTCGTCGCCACCGTTGTGCCTCATTGCTAGTCGGGAAAATGCGCCACCAACACCTCTAATGTGGCAATGCAAATCTGCACACTCTTGGAAGTGTGAGAAAAGAGGAAGAGAAGAAGCTTTAGTTGAGAGGTAATGACTTAAGATGAAGCAAAGGCCTAAGTATTTATAGTAACACTTAGTGAGAGGCAGTCGTTAGTATGGAGCTGTCAATTGGCACCAATTTAATTTGTCCGATTGAGAATCAAGACTTTTCAAAATATGAACTCTATACAGCTGGACTTCCCAAATTATTTTTAAAGTTCCATTACTTCATCACTCTGCATTTTTCATTGTTTTTTTTTTCTATAACAAGTGGTCACCTGCTACATAGATTTACAAAAAGAACATAACATTATGCACAGAGACGCATGCTATAATTGTGTAAGGGAAAATGAGTGTTTTTAAATTTTTTTACATTTTCACTCTTCGTTTCGTTTTCAATATTTGTGTTGCCTCTGAACCTTAATGAAAAGTGGGATCATAGAATTTGGTCTTTTATTGTCGTCTTCTATGGTTCTGTTTTCCTAGCCGCCGGGGTGGGGGTGGGGGT